GCAAAGCCTAAACCGTGACAAATACCTTGGTCTAGCCCTATTATTTATGCAAAGTGAGACCTAATATTAAAGAAAACCAGTTAATTAACAGCTTGTTGAAAATCTCTTGAAAACAATGAGAAGAGGATATTTTATTTACAGCTCTACACAATATTTTTTCAACTATACTTTTGCCAGTTAACAGTTTGCTCTAATGACAGTGTTGGACTTGTGGGTGTGCCGAGCCTCATTAAGTCGCATGTCAACATAAACAGAGGAGTAGGCAGCCCCTCGGGAAGGAATTGCTGCTTTGTGGGTAATTCACTCTCGTTCTTGGCTTAAAATCACACCGCGGGACGGAGGTGGCAAAACCTCTTTGCGCCTCGAAGACAAACTTTCACATAAACAAACCACTTTTGCCTCAGTGCTTCATAATTCCTCTTGTACTGCAGGATGTCCCCATAGAGAATGAGCATGTTCCTCAGCTTGTGTTGTCCTTGTTTGTGCGCAAAGCCTACTGTGCTCCCGAAGGCTCTGAGTGCTCATCATTAGCTCTGCCTGCTAATGAACGTACCTGGCAGTGCTGGCTAGGAGCTGGGTGTCAAGACAACACACACATGTAATCCATAAACACACTCGCACAAATGCATCCCACACAAAAACAGTCGGAGCACGTCCAATTAACAGCGACGGTGAAAAGGCTCCCGAATTGATTTCCTCTCACAGCCAACACAGCGCCTCTGTCACAATCTGAAGAGAAATAAACAATTCAACTTTTGAAAACTTCATCTTAACCATAGGAGAGAAAAATAAAATGGGTTCCTTATTCAGTAGATTCATTGTCACTTTATCAGATCAGTTTTCTATCAGGGAGATGAGATGGAGGAAGATGACGTGCTCTTGTCCATGTGCTCAGATAGTGACCTCAGCTCAGGGAGATATAGACTCATTATTCTGGCCATTGGCGGCAGAGGACATGCCGCTGCTATTTCTAGGCCCTCTCACTAATTAAGAAGACTCTGCAGAGGCCCATCGCTGTTCATTGTAACTGTGCAAACTTTTGCAGTGCTAAGCCAGCCATTAAGGAACAGGGAGAGCAATTAAGCAGGAATTGGACAGATTTCAGAGTATTCAGAGTTACACAATATATGGAGAGAGGGTGGCAGGGCAGCATAATAGAGTCTGTCTCAAGGTTATGCTGTGTGAGATGAGGTTGATTCGAGGTTTAATCGGCTCACTCGGCCTTATCTTCCCCCCAATGCTGTTAATGTATCTCTCCCATCATCACATTACCATGAAACCCCGAGGAAGACTTCTGTACGTCTCTCAGTATGGAATAATATGGTAATTATTACTCTGCCTTTCGGTGCTATTGAGTGAGTCTTTGACAGTGTTTCTAGAGAACGTAACATAGTAATTACTGGAGAAGAAATGAACTGTAAAGCATTAAGATGAATGATAACCTGATAACCAATCTAAAGTCAACTGTGTGGCCCAAAGCAAAAAACAACAAATTAGGCTTTTTATGCAAGCTGAGGTCGTATTGATGTGTCACATAAGTGCACATCATTGAACACTCATCATATGTATATGTAGATATGTCAATATATATGTATATATACGTATATGTATATATGTATGTATATTTCGGATGAACACGTGCTCTCAACTAATTAAAATATACAATCATATAGAATAAAACCCAGACTATACAGAACAGTCTGTTTTTGGACAATAAATACACCGCTGCAGTTTTGCTCCGTCTACATGTTTGAAATCACAGCTGCGACTGTATTGATCAACAGCATTTTAAAGGAAGTTAGAGTTGTTTCTATTTAGATTAATTAGCCGTTAAATGCAGATGGGATTTTGATGGTTCGGTGGAGCAACCTTTTCAGAAGCACATGTTTGTGAAGAAAAAGATAATTATGATCGCCTCAAATTAATTAGGAACCATCGATTCTGAACAGAGAATAGCCGGCAGTCCACGAGGACGTTACGCCTTCAAACTGCCTCACACACAAACAAACAAATCATTTATGTGTGCTCCTTTGCATGTAAAACAGTGTCTGCTCCGTCTTAATAGTGCTAACAAGAGCTCGCATAATCAAGTAATTATGCAACACAAATAATGAGTGTCTCACCTTGCATTTGTTGAGCGGTGCAGCTGGTGTTAAACCTCTGATCCTGTTCTGTGACTTGTGAACCCTGTTTAGAGGTAGAGCTGTGTTTGGAATATTAATTGAAGCTTTTTTTTTAGTTCTCTGTGAGCATGTGTTTTGGGGGAGAGTGTGTGAGCAGCAGTTGTTAACAAGAATCGAATAAGATTAAGGCCGGGGCAACTTCAAAGCTTGGATCTGAGTGGCACTCAGCTGGGATGTTGGGATTTCTCATTTCCAGCTCCTTAAAACTCAATAAACAGGCACCTGATAAAAAAAATCAACGTGGTTTAAATTAGGAGCAGAAACTCTTCGTCTTGGAGCAATATGTTGCCATCTCTCTGCTTGAATTGCCTGGGCTGAATATTTCACACAGCAGCATCTCTGGAGGAAGTGACACTTTTGTTATGCAAATAACGGTGTGCAGTACCGTTCCAGTGACACAGAATGTATTATAAAGGTTCCTTTTTTCAGTACAAATCTGCGTGTAAGCGCCTCAAACTGTAGAATCTGTCTCAAAGAGCTGCTCTCTGGAGCAGCGTCCATACGGAGCTGGGTCCCACTACAGGCCCTACCGCCATTCAGTTCATTGACATGTTCCTCTAGTTACAACAATAACAGTTTTGTGATTAAGGCAATAATCATTTTTCTATACTCATGTAATTGCTCTTGAAATTGAAGTGGTGATAATCACAGTAACATGTAGAGTTATTTGACTATAATAAATGTTTGTACACCCCAATTACATTTTTTTTAATTGTGGTCAAGTTGTGGACTAGTTTATAGTTTACCTTATAAATGAGGACCTCGTAGTAAGCACTTTCCATTCGGCTATTAAGCCACTAATGGCTACTTTTAGCCATTTCAAATATTGAGCGCTCATCTGTTGCTGATCTTCTCCATATTCTTTTGCCAGGAAGTGAACGATGAGGGACAACTAAATAACATGTGCACCATATCGCCCAGGTCAGAGTAGCATCTCGAGCATGCGCCGGATGGTATCAGGGGACTTAGACATTTTTCAATCCATTTATTGTGCTGGCTGATGTAAATAATCACCCTTCAACACAGATCTGTCACTGTCTGCTATTGTGTCAGCAGAGGGGATTGTGTAGGTGGCTTTATCCACTAGACTGACTGGTGAACGCTGTGTTGCTGTAAGCACAACAATGAATTGTCTTTTTCTTCTTCCCAACAGGTTTCACAATGCCAGCAGCATGATATTTTGCAGTTGCAACCAAAATAGGCAATGTCTGATGAACATGCGGTGGTACAAAATAATGGCTGATGGGGATTAGGAAAGAAAAAAAATAGCGATGATAATGGAGCTCAAAGATTTTTTTGTAGAAGTATTATCTGGATAATTCGAAGCGTGTCGGCACTGAAAATAGCAATATAATGAGAAGATTTGCACTATCATGCAATCAGTGTAAAGCAATCAAGTAAATGGCTTAATCTGAATTTACAACGGGACATTCACAATCAGTGAAAGAACATTATGTTGCTCTGGCCCCAGTTGTTCCCAGAACGGGAGAAACATGTCCTTACATAGATGGTGCACAAACTCTTTTGTTCCTCTCCTGGGATATTGGCACAATAGGCAGACATTTTGACACGTCATAGCAGGGTGAACGCGGGTATAATCAGAAAGTGTGCAGAGCCAGTACTTTAAAGATGAGGACAGGACCACTGGGCCCAGGTGTTGGTCATTAGCTAATTAGCCCCAAAGTGTTATAGCTAACTGCTCGTTAACCTTACTTGGCTGGTGGTATTCTGCATTTATATTTTTTTCAATACATTCCATGAAAATGCATTAAACCCACAATAAATGTATCAGCTCTTCTGACTTTTTCCTGTATATTCACAGCCTGATATATCTTATAGCAAATCTTATTTAGCAAATGGGCATTGGGCCTGAGTGACATGGACAGTTTATGGTAGTTTGACAGTATTGAGAGACAGTTTTCAAATTGGTCTTTTCATGGGACTTGTTAACGAAAAGAACAGTTTTAAAGTTGTTGGAAGGCAGAGCCTGGTGCCAATTTCCTCTCCTTGCTTTCAGTTTTGGTGTTAAGCCAGACCGAGTTGAAATTATTATTGATCTTTCAATCTAAGCAGTGTCTTTCAGACAATTGTGTCCTTCCCAAAGTGTTGCATGATATACATTTTGTGTCAGTGCTACATCAGAACTGTCAGCCCTTTTGCTTGCACAGAGGTCGTGCCCTTCTGTGTAGTGAGGGGCCCATTGGTCCTGACATATTTCAGCCTTGATGCGGCGTTGCATGCTTCTTCCTGTAATCAGAGCATCTGATGAATGATGACAGGGTGGGCAATGCCATTTTTTACCGTTACCCCACAGTATCACATGAAATGTCTCGCTGGTTCCGTGTCTGTCATTGTGACACACAAACACAAACACAAACACACACACATCCATTAATGTCTACACAGCAGTAAAGACCCAAATACTCTGCTCTCAATGCTGATACCTGTGCAGGTTTGCTTGTGTTTTATTTCTGAAGATAACATCCCTCTTCTCCTTATCTTGTATGTGTACGCACACACACACACACACACACACACACACACACACACACACAGTAGCATTGTGGGAAAGCCATGCTTCCAGTCAGATCAAGAACAGATTGGATGAGACATTAATACATTTAGGAAAGACAAACGGTCGCGTATAAATAATCTAAGCTTTCATTTATTTTAACATAACTCTTTATTAGAAATTAATAACTACCATTTTACTTAAGTTGTAAGGAAAAACTAAGATGTGAAATGATTATTCAACCTGTTGGATTTATTCCTACTGTACCTTTTTCCCCATAATCACCCTTGTTTGTACTCTTCCAGTCTGAACCCATACAGCTATGACGAGAGCTGCGTGTCCAGTAGCGTGGACCACCTGCCCCTGGCTGCTCTCCCCCTCCTCGCCATCGTCTCACCTCGCTACCAGGATGCCGTGGCCACCGTGATCGCCCGAGCCAACCAGGTCTATCGCAGCTTCCTGCAGTCAGAGGACGGCCAGGGATTCACGGGTCAGGTCCGTCTCAAACTTCTTCTGGTTGGAGAAGAGAGGACTCTAGACTCTCCTCCTTGAATAATGAGCTGTAGGCACTTTGATTGAAGTCAATGATTGTCAAAGGAATTCAAGATTGCTTTTTAGTGGGCTGTGTAATCTCTGGGAGCTCAGGCCCTTAGAGGGCTCCAGATGTCTATTGTTTAAGCAGACCACATTTCATGCTCCTAGGCTCTTGGTAACGAGCTGCTTTTTCTTGTGAGGTAATGATCTGTGAGAAAACTGTTGACCATTGAACCTTTGCTAAGCCAGATCTACCATGGAGCCCACACATTTACTTACTTCACTCCCTGAATAAATGTTATCTAATTTTTGGAAGAAAAAGTGATTTCAGAGAGCAGCAGACAGAACGGTCTACAATATGCGTCTGACGGATTTATCCAGGATTTCAAACTAATTCAGCAGCGGAAATGAAAAGGTTAGAAAGATAGAGACAGAAGCTGAAGCCTACAGATCACAGTGTAAAAGTGAACCACCACATCACATGGCGATCGAGACAAAAGACGATAAAATTAAGGAACAACACTGTTCCTGTAGAACTTGGTAGGTCTTTAGTCACTGCAAAAGCAGCATATATTCAGGATACCCTCAGCAGCTTGCGTAGCATAGAAGTGCTAAAGCTAGTAAATTACGTTTTAACACACTCTGCTATTATTAGCTCCACAGGGTTTTACATGCAAGTAACGTTTAAGAAACGTTTATCTCCTTCTAACCTCTCTGGGTAACAAGCATCACTATTACCCAACATTTAAGAGAGCAACTGGTTATTACAATCCTCATGAGCCAATCGACAACAACAACAGATATACAGGGAGGAGGTACAACTTAGTAACCCTAACAAGGATATTACAATAAAGGTAATTACACAAATACCTGTTATTGTTGATTGGCTTTTGCTATTGGATTGGTTTTGATACGTTGATACTTTCTGTACATAACGTTGGAGTTACTGTATATACGGGTACATTATGTCCTACCTTTCCCACTTTATTTCTACAACTTGGTTTGCTTGATAAGATTATTAAATTCAATCCCTGTCCTCTAATTTCTCTGCAGTATTTTCCCTACAAATTGTTCTACTTGTAATTATATTTTTTTAATAATCAGCTGTGGGGATTTTCACTCACACTTTTGATTTAATGGTTTATTGGCTGCTGATGCAGTAGTAGTAGTCAAATAGCCGTCATCTGGATCGACACAGAAAACACCACTTAACTGAAAAAGAGTTATGTTTAAAGGATTTGGTTTATTCTCACTGCAAAAGTGACAAAATTAAGGATACTAAGGATAAAAAAGCAAGCATACTAATCATGAATCACCTAATGATGACAGAATGGGAAGAACATGAAAACCATTCTGACTTTTAAGTGGGATATATAATCCCTGATACTCAGAGGCCTACATGAACCGTTTTCCAAATTGACTGTTCGTAATTACAGTCTGAATGATATGTTCTGACACGGCAGGGGAAAAAACTCAATTTGTAAGTGTGCAATTGCCGTCTTTCAGTGCAATGCACATAGAAAATGGAGGAGCTGCTCATAGCTGAAAAACATTCAAATAAATTGGGAATTGTGGTGAATCAGCTCCAGAACAATACTGTGGAGGAAAACACAGAGTAGGTTTCTGTTCGTGAAGGGAATATATATGTAATACATACTGTATCCTATTTGTATATAATCTAGAATTGCGACGCTACGGCTGTCATGCCTTCCCGCACCAGTGAAATATGTTGTTTTCTCATTTTTTAAATTCCATTCACACGCCTCCCCATTGTCCTCCTGTTATGTCCTTCACTGACTGAGTGCACCATATGTGGAGGCTGTCTCAATAATCTATTTTTCCGAGCAGGTGTGCCTGATGGGCGACTGTGTGGGAGGTGTGCTGTGCTTCGACGCTTTGTGCTTTAGCAACCACCAGAGGCCTGGCAGCCCCAACAACAGCAGCAAGAACAACAGCACTGAGAGCCTGAAGGTAGGAACTCACTGTTACAGTGATAACAAGATGATGCCGATGGCGGAGAAAGAGCACTTTACTGGTGATACATCATTAAGAGATCACTGCAAATGCAAAATGTTACATGCTTGTGTTTTATTTTGTCAGTGGAGTTGATTAGTACAAGAGTGCACCAGTGGCTACCCTAGTCCGCCTTAGTAAACAAACGGAGACTGTCATACACAACAGTCACCTCTGCTATTTCAGTCAGTTTTTCAGCACGACGCCTCGATCAAGACACAGCTTTTACAAATGTCACTGTACAATAGCGGCAATGTCCTTGGCACTATGTTCTCTAAAGACTCATACATAATAGGTGTAAAATTAAAGTCAATATGGAGCTAAATTTTGTGTGTGTGGATCACCACTTGTTTCCTCTGGATGATTTGAGCAGCAGTTCCTGCTGTGTGCCTGAAACATATTCATCATGATATTTGAGCTGAACTCTTGAGGCAGCTTGTCATTTATTGTCCTTTTCCGCCTACTAAGCGTCGCATGATCCCCACTTTCTGTCTGTTGCCCCCTCCCTCTCTTCTCCTCCCCCTTGCAATCCACTCACATCTTTACAGATTCACTCTTGCACAGGTAGGGTTCACCTATGGGAATCAACTCAAATCTGATTATGTGTAATTCCCTGGTGAACCCACTCCTTTTAAGTGTATCAGGCTTTTCAGTATGTTGCACACTCTTCCTCTTCCTCTCAGGATAACTCGGGCCTACTCGGGGACTCCAGCCCGGGTCTGAGTTCTAGCAAGAGGCTCAGTAAAAGCAACATCGATATCTCCGCCCCCAATGAAGGGCACGGCCAGAGCGGGCCACCGCTCAGCCGTAAGCAGAGCGACTCCTATGATGGAGACACCATGTCCACGGGCCAGCACAGCTTTTTTTCAAGGTGGGACAGTACGCATGAATATACCCGCACAAAAGGGTGGACAATATACTGTATACTGTGAGACAATAATAGTTTGTTTACTATCAAACATCTTGACATGCTGTTTATATTAAGGTACCTACAGTATCCATTTCATATGTCTAGATGTAATTATGGGCAATGTTAAAAAAAAAGTAGGATTTATTTTTTAGGATTTATGGTTATATTGGAATTTTATATACAATTTTGCATCACCGAGGTTAAGAACTTAGATTTTTCAGGTATTTGCTGGATTTACCACAAACAAGCACTCCTCTCTGTTAATTATTATTGTCAATTAACAAGTTTTAAATTGAGTTTCTAGAAAATAATTTATATCACTTTATAGCACGATATAGAATTACATGTGCCCTTTGAAATATTCCCAAATTCACTACTTGGAAAACCTGGACATTTCTCACCTTATAAAATGGTGTTTATACACACACTCATTTACACCAGCACATACATACAGTACACAATCATGCACACACATTGTACTAGAAATAAGAGAACACTTTGGATAAGATCTTGGATGAGCTTACTTGACCTTAGTGCCAAACCATTGGTTGTATTTTGTTTTGTGCCCATACCCATTATACATTAAGATGCACATACACACACACACACACACACACACACACTCAAAGGAAAAAGCCTAAACTCTCAATCAGACTGCTTCTTCTTCACAACAATGGCAGCAGGTAGGAGAGTTATAAAAACTGTGCACTTTGTACAATCAAACAAATATGTAATCAACAGCAACAGTATTTTCCTGTTGGTCAATCTGTAAATACGCTGGAGCAAAAGGAGATTTAGTTAAAAAAATATCACAATTTCCCAGATAAATGATTTACAGCATTCAAATTTGCATACATTTGGCCAAAAACAACATTTAGTTCACACAAACACCCACATGTTGGCAAAACAAGACATACAGAGTAGAAACTCTGTCATCCACTTCTGTCAAATAGCATTTGTCGATCACTGATGAGAGTGTTAGGGTTCCAGATGATAACCCAGATGTTGCATGCCATCCCTCATCCAGGTTTTCCTGGAATGTGTCACCCTGTCTCGACCCTGCTCTTTATCAATATTTGCAGCTTGACTTCCCTGCCTGCCTACCTGCCTCTGCTGGACTATAAATAGCCCGTTTGTGCCTGTGCCAGCCGGTTTGAGTGTGAGGCCGAGCGCTGCGGCTGCATTTAGCTGAGTCAGGTTGGCTGGAGGGGCAACAGCTGCCATGTTGACTCACTTCAAGCAATCAGTGTTCCCATTCCAAACCACATGCTCCACTGGGCTTAAACCATCACAGTAAGACAGTGACTGAAGATAGGATCCCATCTATTCACAGTTACGCCACATTGTGTCCATGGTGGTGCACACATCGCACTTTGCTCTTCTTGGTACACTATGATTAATCGCGAGCCTTGCTGTGTAGAGGGTAACCTCTGCTCCTGGACGTGCTCTTTTCCCCGGCACCTCCCAGTGGATATTCCCAGTCCACATGGGGGCTTATTAAAGCTAATTTTCACATACATTATCCCTCCTTTCAGAATGGCCTATTGGAAAGCTGTCTACGTCTGGTTCCCTCCTTTTCACATGACCCTCAATGGCAGATGTAAATGGTCACAACACTTATTATGAAAACCCAGGAGACTGCAATCAGTGCATTAGTGCTGATGTCCTAGATGTTTGCCATTTATTTCACTGTGCTCAGTGTACTTACAGTCTATCTTTGTTAGGGATGTGTGTTTTAGCTAATTATACTGATATTTAAACAGATGGTAATAAAACTAACCTCTCAGGTTGAGAAAAAACGACCGACAAAGTGGATATAATTGACAAAATGTCGACAACTATTTAGTCTCAAGTGCTCAGAAAAAAGAAACAATTATGTGCAGCCAGAGCTACTGAAAGGCTTCATGCATTCTTAATGCCCAGAAGGAAATATATTTGCAACGGTTTAGTTTAATAGGGTGGCATCAGTCAGATCTATTTGCTGCTCTCAGTAGAGAGCTGTAATGCATTTCTTTACCTATTATCCCTCATAAATACCTTGTTAGTCACTTACTCAATAATGTTGGTTCCATGCTCCAGATTCTATGAGTAAAGGTGTAGCGCCAATGTCGTATTTGTCATATTTATCTAACATATGGGTATCAATCTGCAGTTGTTGTAGCTGCAAAAAAAAGAAATCAAGCAAAATAACATGTCACTTTCTACAACAACAGGCATTGTTTTATGTGACTGACAATAATTTAACATTGGACATGAGTCTATTCAGTAGAGAACATGGAGTCGTCCAGTCGTTTAGTCATGCTTATCCCTGCTCTGCATGCACTGTTCCCTAATGGTTCACTGTCTCTTCAGCCACACAGAGACTACTAGTACTTTCTAGTTTGGAGGAAGTTAATACATGTGTGGATGTTTTGCAGCAGTGATACATTTTTGCAGACAAACAGACATACTGAATGGCATGGTAGGTAGAAGTGAAGGAGTGGACACATTTCTAGAGAGAAGACAAAGAAACAAAATGGAAGTTGAAGGCAATCAAAGCACTATTTATTTTGGCTTTTAAACATGGCTGTTGGCTAATCCTTTTTCCCCACACAGGACTTGCTGTCATGGGGAAATTACGCAGCCTGTGTGAAGGCTGAGCGAAGCGTCATAAAGGCTCTGTGCCGACAACGACCCCTGAGTGTTGAAACTATCCGGCCTACCATTGATTCAGGATAAAGCAAAAAGCGTCACTGACTTTTGCCTTTCCAATTTCAGCAAGCACATTAGGCACATTTAAATTTTCTGATTACTCCTGATTTTTTTTTTTAAATAAAAGCGAAATTCAAAAGTGACGTTGAAAGGAATAGTTACACCCCAAAATGATGAGTTTTTCTATTTCTTTCTTTCCATTTACTTGTTCTTCATTCATCATGAAAACAGCTTTTAAAAGTGATGAACAATATCAATTATGTCCCCAAAAACTGTTCAAAGTAAACCTGCAGCATAATCGCAGTCTAACTTATGCACTTGAATCCTAAATACAACCCAGCCGTCACTACGTTATTGCTTAATAAGCCACTTTCCCAAAGTCCTCACATGCCTCCCTCCAATCCATTTATTGGCAGAGTAAGCATCCAACGAGTGAATAACCACCAATTTGGAGCGGTTGGCCATTGAATGAGAAGGCAGGACTGTCTTATGTTCTGTGGCTCTGATAGGATGTTTTATTGTTTGACGTTTGTTCCACCAATCGTGTGCAGGTGGAACACGGCACAGCTGTAGTGTTAGTGACTGGCAGAGAAAAGTAACCTTAGATAGTTCTGTTGGTGTGCAGTCCATTGTGTGCGTACATGAAAAGTGAGTAATCAATGGTCTTTCTGTTAGAAATAGAGTTTAAGAGGGAGACGTAGTTGACTACCAATTTAAGTAAAAAAGGGAGGTTGTACGCTTTTAATCGCTCCTAAATCATTGCTTTATGTTATTAACCACTTTGAAGGGATTTAACACAAGGGTGGGGTTAGTTGCTGTTGTCTCTCCAACCTTAATGTAGTATAAATATATATGCATAGGAGTCATTCGAGATTATTTGGATAATTTGGGTTATGGTATTTGTGGTCAAACTATTATTTGCTATAATTTCAACATTTTTAGCTGTTACTATAATTTAGTAACAAAGGGAATTAATGATTATTCCCTCTAATACATTTGTAATTATTTGCTGTGCTTCAATATGCTGTATATTTCCTTTATATTTGTTGGCACGATTATAACTCTGCCAGGTTTAATTGGATGCTCTGTAGCAATTCAACTTCCCACATCAGCAGTAAAAACAACACGTTTCTGAGCGACAGACAGATACCATTTTATATTGTGTGTGTCCCCAGTTTGATGAAGGAAGGTGTGGAGCTGCGTGGTGGCAGTAACCCCGGTCTGGTGTTGAATCCCGGTCGATTTGACTTTGAGGTGTCTGACTGCTTCCTGCTGGGCTGCCCTTTGGGCCTTGTGCTGGCCATGAGACGCACTGTGCTGCCTGCCGTCCAGGGTAAGACTCAAAACACATTCAACAGATATCAGAGAGTGCAATTCTTCACATCCACACCTCTACGCAAGGACAATGTGTGCACAAGCTCTCACAGATAACAGCAGTTTTTATCTCCAGTTGTTTTGCTTTCTATTTCTACTGCACACAGGACTGCACTAACCTGTGTCAAAGCTGCTATACAAAGTTAGTTTGATTGACTCATTTAAAGACAAGTGCAGTGCAATAACATACATGATCAGATCTGTTTGAACTGGTTTTCACTTGGATTTTACCCCTGCACTACAATAAAAAATGTTTAATTTACACCTTCTCCCCTGTTCAATGTAGTTTACTACAAAAAAAGGGCCTCTACCGCTTATAAAAACAGGGAGAAAATGCAAATGAGCTGGTGATTATGTAGCAGAATCCCTCTAAGTACTAAAAACCAATTATTTCCACTGGAAGTTTGGTTGTCCTACTTATCTATTGTGTTTCCAACTCCTCACACAGCTGCTGCATTTAATACTCCATATGCTTCATACTGTTCCTAATGGCTTTGCCTATCCATTGTGCTTTCTGACCCTCAGTGAGCCAGCTGCATCCAGCCTGCTCTCAGATTTTCAACTTGTTTTACCCTTCAGACCCTTCAGCCTCCAGACTGGAGCCGCTGCTGCAGCCTCTCTTCCACAAGTTGCCACCTTACGCTGTGCCGCGTTACCAGCGCTACCCTCTAGGAGATGGACGCTCAATGCTCATTGGTAGGAAATGTGATTCCAACCTGCAAATCAATTTACGAGCGTCGGGAGATGCGAGAGCAGCTCCTCCTGAATATTTCATTGGTTCATTTATTTTCTGGTATAATTGTATTGCTTTATTAATAATAATGGGTTTTACATTTCAAAGCTGGCATGAAATCTTTTAGGAATTCTGTTAGCGAGACTAGATTGCAGCGGCAGACAGATCCTATGACTTAGTAATGCGAATTTTCACAGGCGCACATGTGCACATAGGAGCCTCGGTCCCATCTGTGTGAGCTTGCCCTGCAGACGCAGAGCTAAATCCTGCCCTGAAAAGCCTGAAGTTTGAAGTAATTATACTTCTTGTGGTGCAGTACCTTTGGCCTGTCACCACTTCTCTGAGGACCAGGCACAGTATGTGAGATATTAGTCTGCTAGATATGGCAGAGTACTGCTGTAATCCCCCTTGAGGGCCTGGTTGTAGAGAGTGAGTCCTTAATGAGCCACTGAATTATTTGAAGCATGGTTTTAGCCCACTTTTGGGACATAGAGACTCGCTCTAAACAGCAGGGATGACGCATAGCCTGGATACCCTGCCCCTCTATGCACCTACCTCACCGAGAGAAAGTAGGGCGAGGACTGATCTCTTGAGCTAACAGCCTGTGAGCATGAACTCAGATCAGAGGATAAGGCTTTGTGGTTTGGTGCAAGGCTTTATAACAAAAAAAAAAAACTCCTCGAGTGAACATGCAATCATTAGAAATATGTGTAACTCAAAGCAGATTTGTCAAATGTGCCATCTCGGTGATATTTCCATTTATTTTCCAATCATGTGTTTTTACGAGGAACCCTGCAATGTGGTAGATTCTTTTGTCAAGTCAAGTTTATTTGTATGTTTCATTTCATACGACAGGACACTTTATTCAGACAAGAGCAGACACAGATTGTTTAAACATGGAAGAGTATTGGCTAACTATCTCAAGTCCAATTCAGACATGCACAATGTTATGTAAATGTGGTGGCAAGTTTACGTTTAAAGAAATGATAGCCACGATGATAATCTTACTAGGTCGGGACACAGCAGTTTTGTCAGGTGCCTGAAACAAATATCCATAGAAAGACTTCAGAATTATCATATTCATAAACCATACCAAACAAAACTTGAGGACAACCATACTGTACCAAACATTACAAGTTGACAGTTAAACAAAGAAGAAAAAGTTAAGAAATACAGTCCTAAAAACATTTGGAAGTAGTTGTGAGGGACTTCTCTGACAATATCTCACTAGAGATCTAATTGGATAATTTATGGCAGATCTATGATCAGTTGTCCTTGTTCTTTACTGACATGGTCAATGTACAAGATAAATAAAGCTAGTTACAAGGTGACTCCGCAACATTTTACTGAAATGGAAAAATGAAAATGTCGAAAACGAATTGTACATTTTGAAGTTTTGAGAATAATTTGTCACACATTGTACAAGGGGCAAATTATTGTACAAATAGGATAATTATCTTACAAGTGGTAACATTACTAACCTGTCAAATCTGAAATACAGCACAAGTTAGAATTGAATGCTGTCATGCAGTGTTGTAGTCAAGACCACCTAAACCGAGATCAAGTGATGACTAAGACCATAATGTATCAAGACCGAGACTTTGAGGGGTTGAGAACCAAGACCAAGAGTAGCTGAGGTGAATTTTACGTGTGCGAATTGTCTTTTGTTTTCTATGAGCAATCACAGTAATGATGTTGTAAAATACACCAGACAATGCACAGTCAGTGCTAAATAATTTGTGTGTTTTGCATGTATGTGACCTGTGTACCAAAAATGTCTGACACATGGTAATAAATATCGCAGTGTTTTTACCCGCGTAAACTGGAAGCCCAAGCTGGGTTTTATTAATTCAATCAGGTTCAGCTACTCACACAGCGAGATGCTTGACATAACTCAGAGCCAGTTGTGCAGATAAAGGTGATGGAGTGTAAAGGCAGACACACAGCGTAGGCTTGCAGCTATACCGGTTTTTAATTAAGGGTCTGCACCCCTGTTCCATTGATCGGGCCTGGATTCTGTCAAATTATGTGTTAAATTGAAAAACAAAGAACAGGTGCACACGGACGGACCCAGACATACAAACACACTCGCTCACACAGACACACAGAAGAAACAACAGCACGCATCACCCATTTCCTGCTCTGTAATACAGTAATTAGTCATTATGAAGGCATGAAAAGACAATCAAATCAGGCTCCTCTGGGTATGACTTCGACATCAACACCCGTCAACAGCGGAGCTTTTATTATGATGAATGTTGTTAATATAGAGCGAACGAGCCCTCTTCCTATTGATTTCCAGCTATGGTCCAAAGGGAAATATGATCGTCCAAGACAGCAAATACACATGGAATCATAGTAGTTCATATCAGTATTGATCACATGGCTAACGTATACGCAACGTACTAGGCTTTAACGTAAGAATGGTGGTGTATCTTTTGCTCGCTATTCAATTATTCCCTAATGGGGTGCCAGTGTGTGTGAGAGCGTGGTGAGGACTGGAGGGAAGGGGCTGAGTTAAAAGTCTCTAAGACGTTTCAAGGTCACAGTGCAATCATCCTCCCTCACCTTATGAATAATCTGCTTGTCCTTCCATTTACCACTGTCATCAGCGGTTTCACTCTCCCCTACCTCGTGTTAAATCACAATCTTTCGGTTTTCCTACCTGTGGACCGGTGTGTACTGTCATTTTTTTTAACTTTTCTTTTCTTCTCTGATTTACCAACACACTTGCATGCTTGTGCTTGTACTTTTTTCTCGCCTTTGCGTCTGTCTTTGTCACCATGATCACCTATCTTTCCTGCTACCACTTGCAGTTTTTTGATGCTCCTCTTGATATCACCTCTCTCTCTCTCTCTCTCTGCTTCTGCACCAGCACATCTTGTGCAATGTTGTGTGTGTGTGTGTGTGTGTGTGTGTGTATATGTGTGAAAATGTGTCAGTCAGTGGATCGTTCTCTCAGCCAAAAGAGTCTCTCCCTCCCTTTTTGCCTCTCTCTGTTTATTTTGCTGTGAAAGAAAGACAAAGTTGTGCTAATAGATTAGACCAGAGATTAGATGCGAATAACAGATTGTAGTGTGTGTGTGTGTGTGTGTGTGTGTGTGTGTGTGTGTGGGTGGGTGGGTGGGTGGGTGGGTGTGTGTGTGCGTGTGTGCGTGCGTGTGTGCCACTGCAAACAGTATACAGTATCTTCAATGACCCTCTCTTCAGTTATAAGCAAACAACATTTTGATTAGAGATTATTATTGGGTTTTGTGTAACATTCAATTTCCATCATAACAGCCCAAACAGGTGACTTTAGTACAGAGTAATCAACCTCACCTGATTCTGTCTAACACGAGGGAGAGGGAGAGAGTCATATTTAATCTGTATTTCTCCATCAGTTTCCACAGTAACAGTAATTTCTGAAAATCTGCCTGAAACTCTGTATGAACTCAAGGATGTCACGGCACCTCAGCATGTTCCTACTCAAGAGAAGTAGTACTTCATCGAAACTCGTCTCTCGCCAAGACTTCTATGAAAAGAGCCTCTTGTGGTCTGCCACCACACTGCCAATCACACCTGAAGTCAAGGACTACAGTCAGATTTCAATGACTTCAAATAACTTTCCTTCTTATTTTTATGATTGTGATTTAATTACAGAAATTGTTTTCTTTTGTAAATATGTCAGAATATTTTACAAAGCAAACAACAATTTTTAGTACCAAAAGTGGTTCCCACTGGCCTCCCTTTGATTGTTTTTATTTAATATCATGCCTTCCATCATAGAATTCTGCTAACAAAAAGTTTATATTATTATTTATTTATATTTTTCAAAATGGATTAAAATGTGCAGATTTGTTTTCCGATACATCAATTGGTCTATAAATCTGAGAAAAGCCCATAGTGATGTCATTATTTGTTTACGTTGGAGACGTTGGAGGTCTTGAAGTAGGATTGTATGAGGTAGGGGAGAGCCCGAACAAAAGTAATGAGGCAATTTTAGTTTTATGCTATACTTGAACATTTTCACCGCTTTACCTTGCCGTCAGGTAGCCCTTCCAGACGGGGAACTGAAACTGTTCGGGTATACATGTATCCATCAAAACCCTAATTTTTACCTTAAAGAACACGTAAGTTGCAGGTCTTCCGCTGCTTCGGTTAGTTTTTGTGACTTTCGGAATGTTAAAGAGTTACTTTGGTTTAACAAAAGTTGTTTTTTTCTGGTTAGATAATGCCAAATACAAAAGTTTTATTTTCTGCCCCTCAAAAGCAGACCCATCACACAAAACCATCCAATCTAGCATCACTGATATGAACACAGTGTGTGTGTCAGATTCCATCATCTTCATCATCCTAAGAGTCCTGCTTCATTAACCACACCTGATCCTCCCTCATGTCTGAGAGGGCGGCTAATCTGTTTTCTGCGACTGGTGCCGATCCTTCAAAGACCAAACACGCAACATGTGGCTGCATCTGGCGGTTTATTTATGAACATTCCAGCAGGCAGCAGAGAAAGGGTTAATCTAGCACGTCATGCCTGACACAAGGGGAATAACGAAGGAAAGCGGCACACTGTGTCACGTGGGTTTCATCACTGCCACATCCCTTTCTGAAAATAGTGGCAGGTCCTGAGTCCATTAACTCCAATGTGAAGACGTGAACATGAGCACAGAGTCTTTCTATCCATGGTCACCGAAGTACAAATTGGACCAATTTCCACAAGCCACATATCTTCCGAACATTCTGAAACTAAAATGGTAATTTTCAGACACATAAATCAGGAGAAGATTGACTTTAACTTAACGTTCAAGACCTCTCTGTGTCTCAGCAACACATTATTGTGAGATCTGGCAGCACGGATATGTCTTCCCCCTTGTTGGTGCTGAACCATCGGTCTGGTAACGTTGCTAGACTAGTGTTAACGTAAGCCAAACTGTGTCCGATTTTTAGCTGGCGTCAACTAACGTCTTTGATGGTCATAGCTCACTCATTTTCGTAATGCTAAATATATCTCAAAGCCGTGTAAAATAATAAAGAAGATATGAATACATTAGACCGAAGCTAAGGTGCTTAGGAGACAAGATGTAAGGCGTCATCTGATGACATAAAACATCTTTGATGAGCACTCGAAACAAAAACATTGTCCTTGACCACAATTAAAATGTCAAATAACAAGCTTTTATTTTACTGTAAAATATAAATACTGTAGTATAATTATATATAATATAGTTTCCCAAATATACATTTTTTTAGAAATGAATCCAGCATATTATTAAAGGTTAGACCCGGGTCCTGGGACAGCTCACCCAGTGTTCCCTCTGTGTCGGTGGCCCTACATGCACGTACAAACCTACAAATATTGAATGCAAGCGAGCACACATGCCGTCCACTAGTGGAGGTTACCTCTGTAATGCTAATGTTTGTGAAGGCATTGTACATGGAAGTCATGTAAGCGAGAAGAATCTGTAAGGAGACACGATGTGTTCTGCTTTACATTAGCAGGCGAGCCGGCACACCTGCTCTCATTTGATCGCACCTCTCCTCAGACGTGCTGCTCCCCGTTCCAGCTCCCCGTTTGTACCTTACATCCGCTCCATCACATCAGCAGACATCCCATTGGATTGATACATATTACAGTAAATGTGAGCGAAGTAGAGGACGTGATGCAGGAGTGGGGTCATTGAATCTTGGCTTGTTTGTGACATACAGTGGGTACGGAAAGTATTCAGACCCCTTTAAATTTTGCACTCTTTGTTTCATTGCAGCCATTTGCTAAAATCAAAAAAGTTCATTTTATTTCTCATTAATGTACACTCAGCACCCCATCTTGACAGAAAAAAACAGAAATGTAGAAATTTTTGCAAATTTATTAAAAAAGAAAAACTGAAATATCACATGGTCATAAGTATTCAGACCCTTTGCTCAGTATTGAGTAGAAGCACCCTTTTGAGCTAGTACAGCCATGAGTCTTCTTGGGAATGATGCAACAAGTTTTTCACACCTGGATTTGGGGATCCTCTGCCATTCTTCCTTGCAGATCCTCTCCAGTTCCGTCAGGTTGGATGGTGAATGTTGGTGGACAGCCATTTTCAGGTCTCTCCAGAGATGCTCAATTGGGTTTAGGTCAGGGCTCTGGCTGGCTTTCCGTACCCACTGTACATACAAATATAGAGTACATTGGTTTTGTACGTTGTCACTGAGTTCAACATTTAATCTGTAGCACGCTGTGTAGCGCAGCAGTGGAGTAGAGACTCATTCAGACATGAGTCAAGCCTTATCCAGTCACATAATAGATCCACAGCAACATACAAGGCCAGGTAACAGGATAATGAGCACCCTCCAGAGTCTGGCTGGAAAAAAACATTGTGAGTTAAGAAGAGTAAAACAGTGTTGGAGTGTCCTCAAAGAAAGGGAGGGACCTCATGGCTGTGTTGTGCACTGCTGTTTAGTGGAAGCAGTATTACATTCAGTCAGTGTGAGTCTCCTTTTGTCCCCAGGATGTATAGTAGATTTTATATTTATTTTTTCTTTTCATTTTATGTCTATTGGCTTTTTTGAATTTTGAATAAACAGAACAAACATCCACAAACACCCTCCCTACCATCTCTAATAACACAACAAAGAGAACCTTAATAAACACAGCATTAAATATAAATATGCAAATAATTGTAGCTATGGGGAATAAAAAGTAAAAGAAATTGCAAATAAACATACATATACAAAAGAAATTCAATACACAAGTATAAATATTTAAATGAGAATAATAATATATTATGTATGTACACATAACAATACAGAAATATCCATATTGACACCTATGAATTGTAAAGTAAGATAAATGTGCTGTTGAACTGAGCTGAGCTGATGAAATATGCTCCTGCGCTCTACTTCTCAGGGAATAGAAAGTAGATCCATGATGTCTGGTGAAACTAGGTCTCCAGGGAAAATGTCCTTTTTCTTGTTATGGAATATTATCGCTGAACAAATAGGAAAGAGCTGCGTAGAGATGCGCCGGTGAAGAGAGAAACCCAACCAGATAAAGTGATTCTACTTGTCAGCAGGAGCCAAGAGCAAGATGTTTTTAAGAATTCCAAAGTCAATACAATTGGATTTAACCCCATAAAGAGTAGAGGCAGTTTCTGTCATTATCCTTGGCTTGTCTTTGGTTTTTCCTTGATAAAACACAAAGCAAGTCGATGCTAGAGGCCATCTTATTAGGAAAAATAACAGCATTGATTTTACGATTGAGGCCAGCATTTCCTTTCCTCTTCCCTCTCCTTTTGTCCTCGTCTTTTCTCTTTTACTCCTCTTCTCACTCTCCCTAGCGGAGAGTATCCAAGGCCATTCAAATGTGTTTTTGGAAGGTGAGCAAACCCCCGGAGGTCCAGCTTCACAGACGTCCTCTGAGACTAAGACTGAAGGAGGAGGGGGAGAAGAAGGAGGTCGTAGAGCCAGCGTGACCAGTGTGGAAAGTGAAATGTCCATTTGCTCCACGGGCCAGCTGGGAAACACCATCGCTAACAGTGAGTGGGAGGGAAGGAGAGAGTTACAAGCTATACACTGTCCTGTCTTATTATTCAACTTCCTCCTGTAGATGGATTCAGGTTCATGAGGTTTCACAGCTCTGAAGTTAAACTCTGATTTCCCCTTATTTATGTGTGTGTGTGTGTGTGTTTCAGTTTCCAGTAGCTGGTGGGGCTCCAAGAGGCTGGATTATGCTTTGTACTGTCCTGATGTGCTGACTGCCTTCCCAACGGTGGCTCTGCCTCACCTTTTTCATGCCTCCTACTGGGAGTCCACTGATGTAGCAGCCTTTGTTCTCCGGCAGGTGGGAAAGCCTTATTGACAGCCTATTGTTTTTTCCCCAGCAAGTTTCACCGCTTAGAGAAAACTATTGTCTCAGTAATTAGTACGCAAATATTAAAGATGGATTTAATGAGCATACTAAAACCAAGATTTAACCTTTGCATAATTAGCATACTTTATTCTCAACAGTGGCAGACAACTAGCATCCTCTAAAGGCCATTTCAAAATGAAGCTTCACAACGAGGCGAAGCCCGTCGCAGGGTAAAGTAGTAGCTGTGTGAATCGTAGTCTGAAATTTTTGGCTGGTATCTCCAAAGACTGAACTTGTCAAATCAAATATGAAGAGCTTCTGTCAGCACGTTGCTCTGGGAGGAGATGAAACAAAGTGACAAAATATGGCACATCTCCTGCCTCTTGCTAAGGCCAGACGTTTGCGTCTGCACTGTGTCTTCTGTGATGTGACAGTTGTGATCTGGTCCAAGTCCACACCCTCCGGGTTTGTTTGCTATTATGACATGTCAACCAAATGAGAGCAGAAGGAAGTTCCGTGCTTTCACTGCATCATCCATTCAGCTTTGTGTGAGATACAGTATATGGTAACATTTTTCGGTAACACTTACACTTATGGTATACATATTCACCATTAAGTAGCTGCTTTATTGACATGCATATCATTTTCATATTTGTTCTCTATTAGTTATTATACAGCAATAATTAATGCCTTATTGTTCATGACCATATTCAAATATATAATGGAGGACTATTGAGATGCACAAGTTATATTCCCTTGAAATATTTTCATCCAATATGTTTGGTTTTATGGCTGAAATCCGAGCAGAATTTTGCAGTTTATTCTGGTTTATGTATAAATGTAAAATGGCATGACTAGATTCTGCAAAAGTCAGAAATTGAATGTGTGATATCAATTTATTTTTATGACTGGTTAGACTGCAAATGTGTTGTCAGCCTAAGTTAAGACTAATTTGTCATAAGTCATAAGAACTTGATCAGAATAGTCTATAGTGCCTTTTATTTTATTACATTGTATATATTGTGCATTTTACACACTTAATATATATTTTTTTTTATTCTATTGTGTAACCCTGTTTGCTGCTGCCACAGACAAATTTCCCCTTGGGGATGAATAAAGTACTATTCTATTCTATTCTATTCTATACTGTATATGTATAAGTGGGACCATATATATATATACCTTACATTATAACATTCATGTGGAGTGTGTATTTGTGCTTCTGTTGTAATGACAAGTATAGGCCCTTAACTCCTCTGACACAACAAAGAGCAGGACAAGAAGAATAGATAATGGCAGTCTTTGAACTTGATCATTAGAAAGCAGGGCTCCCAGACACAAAAACTGATTTTTTTTCACCCTGCCACTGTCTGCTGCAGCATGTCGTCTTTGTGAGAAAACGTGAGGGGAATAAGGAGAGCACACAGGGAAAAATAAGTGCTATCGACGCCATCAGCAAGCTAATAAACCCGAAGATTGTTACTTTGGTTCAGTGGTTTACAGTTCCACTGGATGCCGCGTTGCATTAAAGGATCGTTATGGAATTTAAGGGCTGCACAGAACATCATTTGTTAAAGCTGAATCATTTACCTTTCTCTCAATCCAAGCTCGGTGTGTAAGAGAATGTCTTCCAGTCTCACATGAAACAAGGAGCCGCTCTACATCCAAGCGTCAGGAATGATTTGCATGGATTCTTTGTGTGTGGAGATTTTATTTGAGTACTCCAAATCACCCCTTAGCCTTTAATCTGTCTCAGTGCTGCTCTTGTCACCAAAGCTTCCCATCAGAATTGTGATGTATGATCCCAAAACATAATTTCTGATTTAATTTATAGGCTTTGGATGGTTAGCCTTCCATGGTATTATTGTGAGACTAGAGCTATTACAAATCTGTTCTGTCTGCTCAACAGAAGGATGTGATATCAAAGGTTTGTGTGTTGAAATGCCTGCTCTTATATATATATATATATATGCATGTGTTTGTTGACAGCTCATGGGATGTGACTGTGTGAAGACCCAGGAAGCGGGCAGTTTGGGCTCTGCTCCGTTCTCTCTCTCCAGCCCACGAGAAAAATGGCTCAGAAGGAGGACACATGTCAAACTAAGGGTAATGAATTATTTGGTTGGTTCATTTTGCACAAAGATACTTTTGCCCCAGTTTTCTCTGCTAACAGAAATGCGGATTGATGGCTACTCGGTTAACTTTTAGGCTCATATTCAATCTTAATGTGAACAAATTTGTGAATATTTCAACACACCCCTTTGGCTTGGACACCAGGTATAACACATCCTGAGAAATTGTCTCTACGGTGCTACTCTTTCTCAGAAATACTCAAAAGAGAAACAACCACCCACACAGCAGATATTGTTCTTCTGCCGCAATGGCCTTGCATTCATTCAAACTAAGAATAAAGTTATCCCGAAATGCCATGGTTGTAGTGCTTTAGTGCTGTCAACTTTGTGATCGTAGATCCACAATTCTTCAAACACGTTCACCTTGAGACAGGCAGACGCACACAATTACTTTATGCTTCTGAGCGCCGCAGAGTCGAACAATCAAGGTCACATTGCTATTCACCGAGTGCTCCTTTTATCTGCCATTTTCTAAAGAGAAGAATTTAGTGACTGTTTGCTTTTCATGAGGCTATAAATAGAACTATTTATAGCCTCAGACTTAAATATAGATGTTTTCACATGGTATTCTGGCTTTGAATGTTTTTCTTTTCTCAGTGTCTTCTTGTTCATGACTCGCCTTGGCCGAGCGATGTGTTTCTGATATAAGTGCACAAAGAAAAAAAGCAGCTCTGAAAAAGTTGCCTCATCCTGAATACGAATTCAGTACGTGGAGATTTAGAGCCGCTCCGTGCCGATTCAACCGGGGAACAGCCGGCTCATCTGCTGCAGAGTGATACTACTCAGAGAGAGTAGGCATCTATTTCTGATCTTCCTCGCCTTGGTAAGAGGCGTTGTCACGGCTGGAGAGGGGCCGCTAGTGTAGCAATTGTTTCTTGTACATGCTGCTCTTTCGCAGGCGGTAGTCTGACTCCCCAACTCATCTCTTCCACACTTTATCTGTGAGTGGATAGTGATATTGAGGCGCATGTAGTTTTCACATAAGGGCATGCAGAGTACCTAGAAAACTGCATCTGGGAAATTTAAGTAGATATTGACTGCTGTCAGGACTCCTTAAATCACAGTGGCTGTGAGGTTCTGTGTACTGTGCCCAGGTGTGCATGTATGGTTTGCTTACTCTGCGTGCTTGCCATCACTGGATCAGTAAGTAAGACCTTTTGCTGACAGATAAATGAATTGTTGTCAAAGCTAATGCCAGGATAACAGTTGGAAATGTTGAACGTCCTTGTTAGATGCCACGTCCTTTAAATTAGTTATCATTAGGTGAAGCCGTAAAATACAATATGTTGGATCACATCAATGCTTAGCAATATTTATAATGTGTACTTCTGTTAAAGTGTGTTTACATATGCTCGTTTTATATTTAAGTTATATAAGTTTACATTTCACCAGCTGCACAAGTCTGTGGAAGAAATGTTATTTTTTGTCACACTATCTACAGGGCAAAAGAGTTGACTTACTATTTGGGAGAAAAGCAGGGAGTTGAAAAAAGTGCATGTGTGCCGAGCAAAACGTTCCAGGATGAAGTCATGGTTACAGAAACGGCAGAGAAGTGGATAGGAGAATTGAAATTTCTGTCATGGTGGCCCGCAACACAGTGGAGAACTGTACATTAGTGTGCTTATAATGTGCTACTGAAATGCTGCCATTTCAGCAAGAAGAGATTTAGGGATTAGGTTTTCTCTGCTGACTCGCTTAAGCTACTCACTGAATGATGCAACGTGGAAAAAAGAACGAGACATGGAAGTTTAATGTAGAGGTAACACTCTTTTCTGGAAGGTCCCAGAGGCATTTGGCTTCCAGGTGTACAATGTTAGGCGGTCCATATAAAATGCTTTTAGCATTTTTGTTCATGCAACTTCCCCTGCCGCCCCCTCTATTACATTACGTTTAGACCGCTTATTATTTTTTGGCCAGCAGCCATCTGTAAACACAAAATTTACATATGATTTAAGGTGATGTGGTTAACTCGTTGGCGAACAGTTGCCCATATACACATCAAGTCGATACGGAGCAACATTAGCATTCATTTGAAGTCGAGAGTGGACCTAGCTGCACTTCTAGGACACTTCTACATGTGGATAGTAGGAGCCGGGGATCAAACCCCAAACCTTGTGATAAAAGGACAACCCGCTCTACCTCCTGAGCCAATGCACATTAGTCATTAGATCCATTGATAATATTAAAATATCGATTGTAGCGGCTTTAGATATGTGTTCATGTTCAACAAACGTTATGTATCTGAGACTTTTCTGAGTTGGTTTAATTGGAAAAAATCTTAATTCAAAGTAACTTTTTCAGAGCTTTCTACCTCATCTCACTATCTTCATCATTCAATTATGAGATTGGCTCCAGAGCATCACATAAGCGGCAATAAAAACCTTGACTGGACCGTGATTTGTGCTCTTGTCATCTGCTGTAGAACGTCACTGCCAACCACAGGGTGAATGATGTCATTGCCACCGAGGATGGGCCTCAAACTCTGGTTGGTCGCTTTATGTACGGCCCTTTGGACATGGTCACTCTGACCGGAGAAAAGGTGAAATGCAGCAACACGATTGTGTGCGACAGATAAAATGTGCATGAAAGACTTACATTAATCTCCAAGCTGTTGACTCACTCTGCCCCTCTTAGGTGGACATCCTGCTAATGACACAACCTCAGTCCGGCCGCTGGGTGCACTTCGACATCGAGGTGACCAACAGCAGCGGCAGAGTCGCATATACGATACCCAAGAGCAAGAAGCTTGGCCTGGGAGTCTATCCGATGAAAATGGTGGTCAAGTAAGCATCCATGTGGCATTACAGAGTGCTGACTAATCAAATAAGACGATAAGTGCTGTATTTGTGCAGTGTGTATGCTTTTAGCCAGACTGTGAAGTCCCTTGAAGGGAGTTACAACCATGTGTAGCAAATTCAGTTTCTCTCTCTTTTTCTTTACCAAGGGGCGATCAAACAAGTGCAGAGGCCTACCTGACTGTGTTGCCGCGGGGCATGGAGTGTGTGGTCTTCAGCATCGATGGCTCTTTTGCTGCTAGTGTGTCGATCATGGGCAGTGACCCCAAAGTTCGCCCTGGAGCTGTCGATGTCGTCAGGTAACCGGTTAACAGCCTCCAAATGTGTGTGTGGCTGTGGCCGTAAATGACATTCCCCACTTCCGAGATTGACAAAAAGGTTGAGAAGGGTGTACGTTCAGAAGTGAATCTCTATGCTTTGGTGCACACCGAGCACTTTAAGCATTTCAGCGTGTCCTCTCCGTGATAAGGACACAAATGATCAAAATGAAAGACTTCGAAGTGTGTTTGATGTTATGTATTCACATGCAGGCATTGGCAGGACCTGGGTTATCTGATCATCTACATCACAGGCCGCCCTGATATGCAGAAGCAGCGGGTGGTGTCTTGGCTGTCGCAGCACAATTTTCCTCACGGGATGATCTTCTTTTCTGAAGGCCTGGTCCACGATCCCCTTCGACAAAAGACCATCTTCCTCAGGAACCTCATACAGGAGGTACGCTCCCGAGACAATCCTTCGTTCTGACATTGACCGGGCAGTTCATCTTTTTTTTTTTTTACAAAGCATGCACAACTTTTTTTTCTCCCCCCTACAGTGATCTTGATTTCTGTCATCTGCGTGATCATTCTTTTGCGAGCTCACAGCGTTGTAGCCTTGGGTTGTGCTGCATCGAAATGTCACGAATATCTCTGACTGATTGTTCTCTCTCTCACCAGTGTCACATTAAGATCAACTCTGCTTATGGCTCCATGAAGGACATCTCTGTTTACAACATGCTCGGCCTCTGCCCCCCACAGATTTATATTGTTGGCAGACCTTCGAAGAAGTACCAAAATCAGTGCCAGGTAGTTTCATTTTCATTGTCTTTCATCTCTCTCAGAAGTATTTCATAGTGTTTCTGTTTGCCTTTTTTACTTGAAAGGTTTTGGTTTTCCTCTTGTTTTTTCCCATTTTCTTGAATTTTTTTAACTACTCTCTTTCTTTTTTTTCAACCCTTTCTCCGTGTGGCATATGTAGTTCCTGAGCGAGGGATATGCAGCGCACCTCTCAACCCTTCAGTTTGGGCACAGAGCCAGACCCAAGAAATCCCCTTCAGTTCGTATGGTCCTAAGGAAGGGCTCTTTTGGTCTCTCGGCGAAGCCGGACTTCCTGTGTAAGCGCAGCCACCTGCGCAGGACCATGTCAGTCCAACAACCCGACCCGCCGTGCACACCCAACCCCAAGCCTGAGCGAGCTCAGAGCCAGCCGGAGTCAGATAAGGACCACGGAGGAGGAGGACAAGGTGCATGGGGACGGCCCTCCATTCACCGTGGAGACACCACTCCCTGACGTCAAAAAGAGATGGAAGGGTTGCAGGAATAAAGAAGAGGAGGAGAACAAAGTTGTCTTAGTGTCCAGGGCCAAGGTGACATCTTATGTTTAAATATGGGTGTTTTATAGGACCAGTGTGTAGGATTTACTGACATCTGCCAGGGAGGTTGCAGATTTCAACTAACTAAACACCTCTCTGCTTACCACTCCCCCCTGGGTTGGAGAGTTACGGTGGCCTTCAGGTAACCAGATGCTTGGTTTGTCCGTTCTGGGCTACCATAGAAGCATGTTGATACAATGTGGCGGACTCTTTGGAAGAGGACTCACTCCCTAGAGATATAATAGGCTCATTCCATTTCAGTAGATCCCTCTAAATGCGACACACTGCTCCTTTAAAGAATATTTTTTGGTTATACCAACATGTGTCTTATTTTTGTAGTTTGGCCGCCATTCTTGTAAGAAAGAATACTGTTGTACTTTTCAAGCGGTAAACAGAGGCAGTCAGATGATCATATACAAGCTGCAGACTGATGGTGTCTTTGATAAGACATCCTTACTGTCCAAGCCCACTTTAAACAAATCCCCACCTTCAGTGTGTAGCACAATCTTTCTGTTATAAATCTTAGTCTTCAGCACAAAATAGATAATCTGCACAAAACAGATACATCTTTTGACATCATCAGGGTGATTTCAGACTTCAGAAAGCTTCCCCCAGAGCCACAAAATACATTTCATGTTTTCATAAATTAGACAGAGTAGTACGTCTCAAAACAAATAAAATGAACTGCATGCATAGAATTGGTGGAGTGACTGTTTTTTAAGCAGATAGCAAAAATACGAATGAAATGTGGAAACATCAAATGATGTGGTGATAGTTGACTGTGCCCCTATCACCTTTTTGCACAGTGGAAAACAAAAGCTCTAATGCCGTGCAAAGCAAAACATCTTCATCCCCATCTTTTGATCATGCACAGGTTTTCTCAGACAGCCTGTGATCAGGCGTTCGGTAAGAGCAACAAAGCGGTAAAGATTGTCAAAATCCAACTCCTCGGATTGCTGCACCACCTGTGAAGTTGTGTTATTATTGTTTCCCACTTAAGGATAACCATCGCCGGTGCGTCGTTGAATAATGCAGCCTTCCACCTTTTATTTCACTGCGTGGTCTGTTAAGCCTTTAAGAGCTCGAGGCTCAACAAAGCTTTGACACAAACACAGATTGATTTTGCTCGCTACTGTTGAGTTCCGACAAAGTCAATAAACGTCCGCCCCGATTAGATTATGTTCTTTGATGTACCCCGATACATTACGGCCCCCATGCTTTCAGTCACAGATGCATTAGTATCTTTTATAAATAACGTCAAGTCTAAGAGCACAAAGAGAGAAAGAAAACAGATCAGCAAAGCAGGGAAGTAACAAACAATGAATAATTCTTCTCGATACTTAATATTCCTGTGGCAACCTGAGTAAGAGATGCTATTATTAGCAGCAGCTCCCTTTGGAGTACTGAATGTAAATTTGCCAATGGTGACGATTGTGCAAGTAGGCCTACTGCTGAGCTAAAACTGCCCTTCCAAGCTTTGAAATCCACTCATTTCCATATTTGAAAATATTGTTTTTGCAATTATGGAAATGAAAGCTGTGTCACTGTGAGAGCCTGTATACAAAATGACGCAGAACACGCTTATCAAATGTGTGAGACTTCACTAACTTTCCTCTCTCTTTTGACAGTGTCACCTCTACCACCATGTAGATACATGTACATCGGATCCTCTGCTGGTATCCCTCGCAGCTGAGCTTTACCTCCTGCTTGGCCCTCTACACTTTTCCACCTGTTCGGCCCTTTTCTCGTGACCTGCTCGGTGGATTATTAGTCTTTGTGCCTAAAATGTTCAGCAGGCGCAGAGGGATGGCAAGGATGTTTGCGAATGTCCCTGTCGCGCTAAAATTGTGTCTAATTGTAAAATGAAAAAAAAAAATGTACTTCAGATAGTATATATGCGCGTATTCATGCACACACACACACACACAGGCTTCAGAGGAGGAAAGATGTGGCGACGGTGGTGACTTCGAACCTGTTGAGACCTTGCAACAGATTCCCCGATGCAATCCCGATATAACCGTCCGCTGATGTAAATACTCAACGCACGTCATGCCTGTTTGGGCCTCTGGACACAGAAGCACTGTGACATTTAGGTTCAAGCTGTACGCGAGGTCTGAGATCTGCAGCTCCAATGAGCCGACCTTGCCGGCCGCCATTTCACTCCCACTGTAAGATGTCTCCCTCGCATTGTGGCTTCTGGCTTGTCTGGCAGAACAGGCGCTTTGACAGCCGCCTCAGATCGGGTCCACATGCGCTGAGGGGCTACTCGGGCCCCTGAGGTCGCACTTGCACTATGGAAGAACACCGCAGTGGTTCTCAATTCAGCTGCGGCACTCGCTTCACAATCAAAAGAGTTGTATTTTATTGTAGTTGTAGTTTTTGTTTTTCCTGCAGATTGTGCACTGTCACTGCTTGATGGTTGGTGTAACTCCTGGAAGATTAAACACAAATGGTTTGTTGGTTTGACCAAAAAAATGTTTACAGATTGACAGACACGGATGTAAAAAGTGATCAGAACTTGTTTATCTACGTAATTAAAATGACAGTGTAATTATCATCATAGTTTAGTTGCTTGGTAGTTGCAGTTGCTTGCAGGATATTGTACTGTACAATACACCCCATGCCAGTTGCATCCATTGAATATAGCTGCACTGGAACCAATAGATGTGTGAATAAATCTGATGCTGTCTTGTGCACTCGGGGTTGAATTGAATCCATGTTTAAAACTGTGCAAGTCAAACATATTTTTCTATGAGGAAATATTGTAAATAGAAATATTTTTAATGTACGTTTTTGAACCTTTTGTTGTTTAACTTGTTGAATCGTTGATTTTTTTTGCCTTAAATTGCATTTGATGTTGTGTAGAGAGTTATTTGATTTGTTTGACCAAAGCGTTGAGTTTATGACAAAGTGCATTTTATCAAGTTGATATTTTTGCTTTGACACGTTTTAGATACTGTATACTGTATGTGTGTGCGTGCGTGTGTGAGTGAGCGTCTTTGTCGTAGAGTTGTATTTACTGTGAACACGAAGACAGCTATGACGAGTACACGTCAGTGTGTTAACGTACCGTCGTGTTCTCACTGAGCGTCTATTTTACAGGTTTGGATTGAAGCACTGTGTCAGAGGATTACTTAGTCGAGGTTTTCAAACCTGCTATGAAAGAAAAAAAAAGGCTTACGAGTTCTCGGAGGGTCTTGGTTTAACTGAAAACCTGCGTAGCAGAGTGGAACGTGTCAGCCAGGAGGGAGCAGTCTAGTCTCTTTCTTTCCCCGCCTGCAATAGGTGGTCCAGTAATTAGCTGTTTGATTGCTACTACTAAGTATGTATGACTCTCTGTAGTGCCGCCCCTGTAATTGCAGTGCACTGAATAGCGTTACTTGGTAAATGTATAATATTGTAGAATACTTAACTGCCTAACTCCATTTTGTTTTGCATTAAGATTGTTAAATACTGAAACATGATCATCCCCATCAATGCATAAGCTACACAATAATCAAGTTTGTATAACACAGAGTGATATTTTTCTCCATGACGATACACTGGAGGAGTGAAATATGTATGCTGGGCAGCATTTTAGTACAATGTTAGTAAATGGCAAATGATGATCTAATGGTTAAATGGTGATTGTTCTGTGCGTGTTAATTATTTCATATTGTGGCTATCAATTGTCATCTTTGTCATACTCTGAACTGATGATGGAGTAGTTATTTGTAAATAAGGGGAGAATAAGAATGAATGGTCATAAATTCAAACAGCACATGTTGGGTGAAATGCAAATCAGAATCCCAATAGTCACAGAAAAAAGAAAAGGATGTAGTATACAATGTAAAATGATTGCATTTGTTTGGAGATGTGTGTTATATAATTATCCTCTCACTAAGTACTAATTCATGTTTTCAAATGATTAGTCTGTACCAAATCATGACTTAACTATTGGGTATTGACCTAATTTGCCATTTATTAACAATTCGTATGACTTGTTAAGTAGGCTTTGGTAAGTTAACTAACATGGTGTGAAAAATGTTGATTGTTTGTTTTGTGGTCTTATTCTTGGTCTTGTGAGTATTTGACACTGGCCTTTTGACCAATGTGGACAAAACACCTGGTTTCATTGCTACAAAGTGTTTTGTACAGATCTCCTGTAATGAACATGTTGTGTTTATTGGACTCAGTCCGTCTTTCATTATTGCATAAATAAAGATATTTCACATTCGAACTCCAGGAGTGTGTTAGTATTACCTCCACATGCTTTTCATCTAGAGAAGCTGAATCCCCTCTGATGCGCTTTATTACTTCAGAGTTTGAGTGTGGGGGCATGACTGGGGATATCCTCTTATTTGGATTTCGTAAGGCTTACTGTGTTGTAAAGTCAGTGTGACAAACCCGACTCCAGCTTACCTTTTTTATCACCATTGACCGACCAGAATTAATGGCTGAATCAGTCCAGCCGGTTTGATTGAGTATAGACATTAGGGACACTGGCTTCTACAGTGGCAGTGGCCTGATGCTGTCTCACGCCCTCATCAGAGCAGCGCTTCTGCTTAACCAATAAATGGATACAAGCCTGTGTTGATTGCTCGAAATAAAAGCCTTCATCCATTCTCTCTCCAGTGCTACACCACTGTGTAGCACATCTTGACTTTAAAGATGAGTCGAGTTATTTGCAGTTCAATCTTGACCCTGCAAACCGTTAAAAACAATCCCACAGCAAGGTCCAATAACCCTTACAAACTGGGGATCTTTAGGGATAGATAGCAGGTCAACAGTGTACTTCATAATTTCTAGTCATAAATCTGTAATAAACAGTGTATAAGGTCTTAGAACATTATAATGGGAATTTAAGACAGCCATAAGTCATTGTAGCCTTTCGTTGGACAGAAATTTGTTGCACTGATTCGGTGCAAACTATTTATTTTAGACCACTTAAAAATGTATTTTAAAAAATTGTCAATAATCCCTCCAAAATACCACATTAAGATACCAAGACTTAAAAAAAAAAAAAAAAAAAACTGTACTTGGCATTTAAAAAATAAAAAGACATTTGGCAACTTCTGCAAGAATGGCATTCGATGGCGAGCTCCTGCTCTGGAAAATGTCAAGAAAATGTCAAGAAACCCCCGATAAAATTAATAGAATTGAGCTCATTGAATCCACAAGAGTCTCAGTTTTACACTCATACCCAATTTATGTTATTGCAAAATGGTTTAGGGATCCCTGATGACAGACATATTCAAATACATGCATGCAAAATTAGCATTGAATGGGCATGTCTGTTCACCCTTCTTTTATTCTACACCAGGCATGTGGTATAATGAGCTGGAGCTGTGATTCTCCAAGCTGCATCATTAGTAACATATGGTTCTGGGAAAACAGACAAAGAAATTGCTCCCCTGCGAAGGGAAGCACTGCTGGCTTCTTATACGTTATGATTCACATGAAAGGTTGAAGTCAACCACGGTGGAAGCTGTGATTGAAAACTTAGCAACCGTTTCTGGCTCACTTCATTTGTGTCCCCATTCTCATGTTCGTTTGCGTAGAAGAAATCAGTCTTTTCCCCCCCCTATAATTCACTTATCACAGCTGATCAATATCTTGAATCAAGGTAATTTTCCTCTTTAGTGAGACTGTACTGTTGCTACTTCACTAATCAACTAGGTGCTCAAGTAACTGCTTCAAATCCTTGGAGAGTGTGCTCTTTATTTAGACAGTGTGATTAAGTGCACGGACTTCAGGGATTTCAAAAGTCTATGTCACTTGTGTTGATAGTAGCACTTCACAAAACTGTCTCTTGAACCAGAATCATTTTTAAGCGAAGTTGAAGGGTGAATCTTGATCCTGCAAACATCAAATTAGAAAATCATCCATTTAGTGGCTGTTCTTAGCCTCCGAGCATATTGCATGGTCTTTCTCCTGAGATGGAGTACCAGGGTTTGTTGCGGCACTATACTGTACGTGAGGGCGGCCCGCTGCGACTGAGCCAACGAAACTGAATTTTACAATGGCCTAGATGAAGGAACTATATTTAATGTGGATTGTCACATCTGGCCCGAAATATAATAAAAAAAAAAAAAAAAAACAGAATCGGAATGTTAGAAGTGTGTGAGAAACAGATGTGAACACTGTCACATACTGTGCATGTATGTCAGTGCATACACAATCGTGCCCAATACATGCACATGAGCGCTGCAGTTTGTTTTCTTCCCGAATCTATTGTTGCAGTTTGTTTCGTCGTTTTAACCTGAATGTAAAAAGCAAACCACGGACAGGGGCTCAATTATAACCTTATACATATATGATGGATTGCTTCTTCCTGTGTAACCAAGGTTTCTCTATTATGCCTGTTAAGTAAATTATATTAATTGAAAGAAATCCTGTGAAAGTGATCCCAGGGACTTGATTGGTGCATCCCTTTATCCTATACTTGTAACGGGTTGTATATGGACCCAAATGCAACACACAGGATTCCAGAGATCTTTAGCTTTTATTACTAACTCCAAATATAGCAGGCAGAGTTCAAACAGGGTCAGGATCAGAAGGCTGGTGGGTTTACCGGGAGTCAGGCAAGGCGGGTAGAACATGGGCAGGCAGGGTTTCCAGATACGGCAGGCAGAGTTAATCAAGATCAGGATCAGAAGGCGGGTGGGTTTACCGGGAGTCAGGCAAGGCGGGTAGAACATGGGCAGGCAGGCTCGGTAACAGGAGAGCGGTCCGTGAGAGTGTGCTGGAGAGTCTGGCATAGAACCGAAGAACAATCTGGCAAATGTGTCTGGGAGGCAGGAGTCTATATAGGGGCTTGATTACTGATCAGAGGCAGGTGAGTGAACAGGTGAAGGGAGTTTAGACTAATGAGGAGGGAGTGACTGACAATAAGAGTGAGGATGGTGTGGAGCTGAACTGTGACAATACTTGCTTTTATAGCTTCTGGATATCTGAGGCTTTTTCAGGTCAGAGTCTGAATCTTGTTAAAGATTAATGGACCTATCTTGTGAATCAAAGTGTGCTGTTGTCGCTGCAGTGCTGTGTTTCTTATTCTGATGATCAATGACAACACTTTTGTCACAAGATGAGCAGCGCTAGATGCCCTCCGTCGTAACACCTGCAGACTCTGTAATGCTGTTCAAAGAGCACAAAGTAATGCTTGCATAAGAAATAAACCATCATCCTTATGTACCTGAGTTCATCCAGGTTACGCTCTGCAATACAAAACTAGTTAGTTACCTATAGCAGCAACTTAAGACTTACCGTGACCTCCAGCTCTGCTCGACAGCAGCACCCACTGAATCACCCTGATTGTTATTCCAAAACAGCAGAGTGGGTTTAATTTGTTCTGTGATCTGGCAGGTGATAAATGGATGCCAGGACAGCGACGAGGAATGCATTAAAATCTGAATAGATCAAGACACCAGAGCAGCCCAGAGACAGAGAGAAAGAGACATAGAGGGACATTTCTTCCAGCCAGGATGCCTGGTTTCTACACAGCAAGAATAGCCTCAGATGGTGTAAATAACAGTCCACTCATTCTTAACCAAAGCACATTCCTGAGGTCAGCAAGGAGAGACAGAGATAATGACGTGTACCTCTGGCAAGTCGGCATGGCAACACTCTGCTGTTTAGGTCAAGCCTGGTTTAACATCTTATTATATTGTAATCTGTCTTATTTTACATTCTGTACGTGGTCATCTGAACTCATTTTACTGCGAAACAGCTTTAAATAGTTGCTGCAGCTAAATGTGTGTCATGATACTGCTTACCAGGCTTGTTGTAGTTGACCTTAGTTGTGAGCTGCGGTGACACTGGAATAAGTGGTTTAGCTGTTTGTTGGTAGTCTGGAAAATGAACAAAAGGATGCACTGCACCAAGATTAAAAATAGGTCCCCATATTATTCTGGAGGGCGCAGCACTGGCTGGATACGCTTGGTACGCTTGTACGCTTGGATGCGTACAAAATCCTGTTATACCAGCCGACAACCCAGCTTCTGAATTAAGTGCTGGGTCACGAGAAATTTTACAGAATTTGGAAATCCGCTGCCGTAGAATATTTTCCTGGGGGGGGGGGGCAGGAACATCTCCAGATTGCATTTGAGAAAGCAATTATCCAAAATGCCCCCCAGAGGAGAGGGTCAGATGCCGGAGCCGCATATCACTGCTCACTCTGAGGCATCAGATGTGACAGTGCTGTGTCCGCTCATAGCAGAGATCAAACCTTTCACTTCCATCATGAACCAAAGTCATCAATATTTAACTGAAGCTAATGGACGGACTGCTCTGGGAAGGGATGAACCTTCCCTGCTCTTTGTTTTGGGGAAGTTTAATGTGACAGAGTGGAGGCAGTAGCTAAACAAGCAGCACCATTTGTTCTGTCTGTTTGGTGCCTGCAACCAATATGTCTCACAATTCTAAAACACAGGATTCTGCTGCATGTTCAGGTTAGTTTTAACATGTTTATTTCATGTGTTTTCCTCCGCTTTGGTATTTCATTTCAAATACGACATGGTGGATACGGGCATCTTTTATTCAAGCTGTCAAGCCAGCGTTGTCAACTTGGTAGCTCATTAACGCAAGATCTGTTTTACTCGCAGCATTGTGAAAGACAAAATGAAAGTGAATGATTAAAGGAGAACCGAATGAATAAATTGTGTGCCGCTGTGAGGTATAATTCATTCAAAAATGTATCATCGGGGGAATAAATTGTCGTAAAGAGGTATTTGCCTCTTGGTCTTTTTATCCATCTGGAAACCAAAGTGTAGCTGTGCACGGTTCTTCCTCTTTTTTTAGGAAGAAGCAGGATTAAAATGAGATGCTGTAGCTCTAGTAATGTTAAACCAAGATACGTCTATAAACAGATTAATGTTTAACTTTGAAATGAGCTGGTACAGTTTAGAAATCATCTTTTGTTTTGGACTGTATAACTTTGCTTAGTGATAAGCAAAGGGGTTCGTCTCACGGACATCTAACTTTTAACATAAATGACTTTGTCCTCTCGGCACATGGCTGAGATGACTCTGTCAGCGTTGTGAATGGACAGAATGTGAGCCAGTGCAGAGGTCAACAATATGTTCATGTGTGGTTTTCCTCTCCACCTATAGTGTCACAGATGGATGTGCATAAAGCAGGTGACGGCACAATGTCACTGAGCCCAGCCACACACTTTTGAACGGAACTCGTGAGAAACTGATGGGCTGTCATGAAGATCAACCTGTGCTAGTGTGCATCAAT